GCATTGCCTTCTGTGGAGTGAAAATAGCAAAAATAGTGTACTGTTGAATTCTCTTGAGTACCAACAGCACAGGATAATGTATAAAAAATATGATTGTCCACACCTTTACATCTGAAGAAAAACTTTCAATGACAAATCCAAATGTCCAAATAGCTTGAGATTTAAGCCACCTTTGACTTTTGTCTATATTACACTACAGAACTCAAGAGAATTGATTGGACAAAGAGACAACACTTATCAGCATGAATAATAATAAGAAGGGTAAACTTTGAAAAGATAAGAAATTGTGAAAATAATGTCTATGACTATCTCATTGTAACTAGTATACAAAATATTGACATTCGAATAGACTTCACATTGGATTCATATAATTGAACAAAAATGGTGCTGTCCTTTCTTTGAATAATTTCTTAGGTGTGGGAAAATACATTTTTTTATTAAGATCAATACAACTATTCTTCCATTTAAACACCAGACCTCAGTCAATATATACAAATATTATGTAACTGCTATTTTATGACACAATAAGCAAAAGTTCAATTTTTAAACAGACAATTCTGACAAAGCTGAGCAATAGACATGCATCCATGAAAGGTTTACATTATTTTTATCTAGTTATTTGTATTTCTGGCCACATTACTAGCAAGTAACATACATTGGTTTACCATCCATTGCAAGTGTAAGTTATTGCAATCCTTCAGCACATCTTTATATAAATGGTATCATATCTAAATATAAATTAATAGGAATGTGCATATGTCGGTCGCATACAGACGCAAAAACTACTCGACCAATTTCGCTGACATTTTCATACTTTGTCCTTAATAGTATCGGAAGTATTTAAAGCATGGTTTCAGTTAAATCGCAAATATGGGGGCGGTGTTGATGATTACACGTGTTTATGACGATTCGACTGAACAGAAGCGCTATGCAACACTTCACGTGTCTAACTGCATATTTTGCACCTGCGATTGTGAAATATCTGTTTGAATTGTAATACCCGGTATTACCTGATCGTTAGGTTTAACAAGTAAATTAAATTTCTCCAAGGCAGTGCCATAGCGAACGCATGCCCAAACTTGTGGGACCTTAGGATACTCGAAAACCATGTCCAAAGCAGGTCATAGAACTCGTACTCGCGAGTGTCGTCATCTATTAGAGTTTTTGCAGAGCGTAGCGTAAAACGTGATTAACAATCACGTGATTAGTAGCGTGTGAGATGTAATCCACTGTAATAGCGAAGCATTGTCTGGTTCTCTTGTAATTAATATCTGCAGCCTTCAAGCACGTACAACCGAGAGAAGTTCCATTTTTTACTAGTGCTTAAGAAATAACTCTATGTTTGACACTGGCACGATTATGATTTCAAATTCAATGAGATTTATAATATACTCACACAACTTCAGTTATGATTGGCAATCTTTACAGGTAAAAATAGCAATTTGCTTACGCTATGTACAGTTTCTTCAAGATGTAGAGTGGAGAAAATTAAGTAAATATGTAATATTATTAATATTGCACTTTGTTTAAATGGGCCATTAATGAACAAGTAAATGATTTGTATTGTCAGCATCCCTTTTTCTCAAAGAATACGAAGTATGCAGCGAAAAAGGAATCAGTAGATTTTTTTATCGACTTCAATGATAGCACACTAACTTAAAACCCCTTGTCCAGTTGAATATTTAAGTCAAGTGTATTCCGCGAATAATACACGCGTAGTTTGCATGGTAGGAAGCATGCCAGCGCCCGAGCTGCGATTTCTCCACGAACAATAGCGGAACGACAGGGGGGGACCCATGACAGCTTGCGGGCGCCCAGTCGCTCGTTTAAACGTTTCGCATGTGTTTACTGGTCATCTTCTCATAACATTCCTCAAATTAGAAAACATCGTGTTATAATGCGAAAGTTAACTTTTAATTTTGCATTTTTTATTTCTTAGATCTTTCTTGTTCTACTCAACGTAGAAAAATCATTTAAAATTTATATATTTTTTTTTTAGAATTATACTACAATTATATTACACTGTCATAATTTTAGGCCTCTCACCTGAAGTCGCCAAAAAACTGGTTGTCGAAAACTGGGACATTTCATCGTAAATATGTAACGTTATCATATACACAAAATTATTGGTCGCTAATAAAATAATATTTAACTAATATAAGTAATGATTTAAAGTTGGATTTTGGCCAGGTCCTTATTATCGAGTCATTGTTACATTATTACATATCGTTAAAAAATAAATTCAAATAACTTTGAAGAATTTATTTCCCGACGTTTCGCGACTCAGAGCTGGTCTCATTTTGCAGGGTTGCAAACATAATTTCAACTTCTTGTCAGATGCACAAAAATGTATTAATTCAATATTATATTTTTTTAAAACTATAATTACGTACATAAAAGAGGTTGAACTATGTGTACAAATTTTCTAGTATTCAAATTATCAACTACTGCCAACAATGAATTTTTCGGCGAAGGAAGAACGCATCAGAAAGAAAATTTCTGACAAGTTGTGCACAGGAGCTTACACATCAATTTATACATTTTTTTTAAATGTACCTATATTTTTAAATTTAATTCATTAATATTTTAATGTTTTAGTATAAGATTGAATAGGAATTATTTCACAAATGTTGAAAACTTAAAAAAAAAAGTACAGGCGTTGCGTAACCCTAACCTAACACCCCCTAGCTCCAACCCCCTCCCACGTCGTTAATTTTTGGACGATCGTTTTTTATTTACTTGATAAAATAGCTTTAATCCCACCGTAGGTCGTGAGGCGATTGCTGCACTGACTTTTACATTTATCCGCCATTACTCAGCGTTCAAGTGTTCTAACGGTCTGGTTGCTTCTAGCTGTTACCTGAAATTCGAATAATGAAAGGAACTCTTAATACTCGAATGATGCGAACACTTAGTGAAAGAAAACGCCAAACTGCAGAAGAAGCGAGTTGTGCTTTCGCTGTCGGCCTACGGCGTAAGTATTTTTTTACGAAATGATATAATTAGTTAATTAACTTTATAAAACAAATACTTTAGAGCTGTGCTTTTGAACTTTAATTCAGTATTTTATTATAAATTGGATTTGCGCAAAATGGACCGCACTAAAGTATACGTTTTTCAATGGTTGGATGAAACTGATGAGATGAATGTCAGATTGCATTTTACAAGCTACTGCTACTTTGCTTTGCTACATGCTACTGCAACTTTGAAACTCTTATCTTAGGGGCTCTACTCCACGCGACTTAACTGAAAAAAGGAACGAATGTTACGCACAATATTTTACATCAAAAAGACAGGAAAATATCAAATACGACCTAAGGACAAGATTTCCGTCGATAGATGTAACAGTACTATTGGTTAATATTGAATTGAGTATCCCTCGACATGAATTAGTTTCTTTTTTCGTCCCCCAAGTTTTTCTTTTAAGAACTGACGAAAACAGTTTAGCAAGGAAAGTATAAAATGATTCACAGCAACAATAATTGTAACAAGTACACAGAAATAATAATGTGCACTACACAATTAAGAAATACTGAAAAATACATTTATTTACTATGCACTTCAAAAGTTTAATTTTCAAATCAGCGCTGCGCCCACCATCTAACAATGGTTGACGAGCTTAGATTCGACTTAAGGCTAAGCAATTTTCATGAGTAATATGTTAGGGAAGGCGGGTGGTTCATGTACTAGTAGTTCTTTGCCAGACGCTACGAGTGACAATTTCTACCTTAACATTGAGGGTACAGTTCTATCGTTTTGGCGTTTATGGCCAATTCTCGGACTCTTTATTTAATATTTTACTTGTGTGTAGATATTCCTGAGAATCTGATCTCGAATGCCCACGCAATTGAAAGTAATTTATAGTGGGCAATTCAGGAAATAAGCAAGATAAACATATTTATAATATTGTTAAAATTGTGTTATATATTTCACTACGATATTCAGACAGCATCAAAATTATGATTATTTCTTTCTGGAATGGCGCATTATAAATGAAATAACTATACTAACCGTAGTTTGAATGTAGTCACATTTATACACCTTGTAAAATTTAAAACCTGGTGACGGGCCGGCAAAAGGCCAGCTGAGGTCCGTGGCACGTGAATTACATCGAGGAGATTCCGCGAACAATATCTTAATTAGCCAGAATATCGCATTCTTTGTAAGAACCCGCGAAGAAGAATTTGTTAAGTTTTTGCACGGGGAAGAATTACAGCAATCGACAGCACTATTGGTCTTCAATGTATGCGCAGTTTGACTTTCGCATCACTTCTGAGCATCTGCGCATGCACAGAAGATAGATTGCAGTCGTTTGATGTACGCTATGCCCTGTAAAAGCTTCCTAGTGACACAGGACTACGACAGTTACCCGCTTTCCATGAAAAAGCGATAATGAATCAGATTTGCTGCCATACAGCATCATAATGTAAAACAGAGCTCTACCGAATTGCATCTTTCACTTCAATACTGATTACGTATTATAGAAAAACTACTATACTATGGGCAATGCTGGTGCAAAAACGGCGAATTTTTGACTGGTATTGTGAGGTCTTGATACCGAAAAAGTAGATAAATCTTGTTGCTATACTTTGTAAATTACTTCCTCGCGTAATCAGAGTCTAGGTTTTGTGGATTCTGATTGCATTTGTGAATAATTGGTGCGTTCATGATACCGTAAAATTGGTGTAAGTTAAAAGGTCTATTTTCCCGTGCTTGTCTCTGTCTGTAGTAAACTGTCGGTTAAAACAGGGGTTCCCAACGGGGTCGGCACCGACCCCCTAGGAGTCACCGATATTTTAGAGGGGGTCAACGATCAAGTGGACGACAGTCGAAGATACAATGGTGACTGATTGGTATAAAACAGAACAAAGATCACACTCGCGGCAAAAAATATTAATAAAATTGATAATAATAATAATAAATTATGTGTTATCTTCACATATTTCTTTTGTTTTCATTCAATATTAATTGACAAATGTTCTCCTCTTTTGGAATTTTACATCATTCACATGGATGAAAATCAAACTTTTATGCAATTAGAATTTGTGGTTTTGTTTTTCTAAATTTACTTATATTTATAAAATTAAAGATAATTAAACACACAAAATAATATATGAATAAAAATTACACTTAAAAGGCAACATAAGTATATATTAATATCATACGTAATATAATGCGTTATAAAATATATGATTAAAAAGTGTTAATTAAAAGTACAAAAATACTAAAAAGTTAATCCAATAATTTTTTCCTATCATGTTTATTTTCTTCGGGTAATTATATTGAAGTCATTTAGGAGTCATAACTGTATTATATGTTTTATGCTGTAGATTATAGCAAAAACCGTAAGGGGTCGATGAAGCAAACCATTCTTTTCAGATGGGCCGATGAAAGACAAATATTGGGAATACTTGGCCTAAGCGTTCGGGTAACTTTCTCGAATATTCTCCGATCGAACTGTCCGGACTCCAGGCCATGCGAGTTCGATACGGATAGTTTGATTTTTGGGGGTAGCTTACTTTCCTCGAAGCCTCAACATCTTCAAAATTTTCTCGAAAATGAGTTTTTTTTTTTTTTGTTTAACGTTTTCCTCGGATAGCATAAAGGATGTTTAAAATGATGCAGTTTAATTTTCTTTAAATAACTAAATTTTCGAAAATCACGAAAGTTCAAAATTTTTTCGGCTTCTTCCTATAATTTTGGCTAAAACTACACTTACAATGTTGAAAATAGTTTTCTTTTCAATGATATCTGTCCTTCAATGCCTACTCTTTAAATAAGTACAACCATTTGAAAATATGAGCAGTTGTCGCGTAATTTCGTGAGAAATAAAATACAATTTTTTAAAAATTGTTTTCTCATAAACGGCTCCATTTCTCTCTCTAACAGAGCAAAGTACGGTAATAAGGACACAGGCCCCCTTTTCGACGAATTTTTGTTTCTAAAATTGCAAAATAATATTACACTCTACAATATTATTAACAGATTTTGCCTGTTCAAGAACATCTTTAAACAAAGTCATGTAGAATTTTTCGAAAATATAAGTAGTTTTCGCCTAATGTTGCGTTAAATATGGCAATTAAAAAAAATATATCAAATGTATTTTTTAATTTTTTTCTCAGGACAAATGGCGCTTAATAACTACACAGATTTCATTCTGGTCGAACTCTGTATTTTCGAAAACTCCAAAATGTAACATTGCAAAAGTACAATTATTTCCACGATAGAGACTTTGTTCCCAAATGAAATGTTCTAAAAATTAGATCTTTAAATAAGGCCATGTACAGTTTTTGGGAATTACTAGTAGTTTCTCGTAATTTTTGGAGATCTTCGAAATTGAAAATTCGAATTTCCTCCGCTTCTTTTGCTGGAGAGTGTCTTTCAAGAGATATCAGGTCTCACTATAATGCCAACTCTGTGCACAGTAGTTTGATATTCTCAGAATTGCATACATCCTGAGAAATCCAACTCATTGTTGCACGATGTCTCTCGCTGTATGAGAATGGCGGGAACATATAAAACGGATCGGTAAATGTACGAAATTCAATAGTTCCTTTATCCCGTATTAAACCATTTTATGTTTGAAGTCGACAAAAACTTGACTCTCCGGAACACTGCATTTACCACGACGAATCTCGATATAAATACTATTTGCCGATAGGAGAAGTAAAGTCTTCTGCGTTATATTCATTAATTTGTAGTTTAGATCTATTTCGTTAAATACTTTAAACTCTTTTCGCAATTAACCAATAACATTTTATTACTAATTACAATCTTGAAGATTTAACTTAAAAATACGTAATTATAATTTTAAAAATTAACACACAATTTGAAAGATTGGTTTATGTAATACTTTTTACAGTTGCCTACTTTCTCATAAAATTATTTTCTTATTTACCACGCACTTGGGTACGCATTCGCGACATGGATAATATTCGCTCTACACTTTTTACTCTCTACACTCTCAAAGCGGGCCTTTTAAAAACCTTCACACACGTAAACAGAAGATTAGAACAACATATCCGAAGGCTTGAAAAGACGTTCACAACAACGACGATTGGACAGGAACAGGCATCTTTGCTGAACCTTCAAACCGTCCATCCGCGGAAGCAAAACCACTACCACCACTACCAAGTACGACTGAAAACAGATTTTCTGGATTCAATTATGACAACCATTTTCCTTGCTTTCCCTATCTTCACTGTCCCCTCCCATCATCGACACGTCCGCCAACAAACCAACGCAAACAGGTGAGCAAGCGCAAAGAAACAGACACGTGGAGTTGTGCAACCTTGCCCACCAATGAACAAAGACATTCCCCACTGAGCCCACCGAAAAGGTGGTAATTTTAGCAATAGCCTTGGGCGACAAATCGCGTTCCCGCTCAGTGGGAATGTCTCATCCAATTTATCAGTTAGGGGTGTGTTTAAATCTAACAGGAGGTTAGCCGACGTGACCAGCGAATAAGACACCACACTGCAAACGGGACAGTCATCATCATACGAGGGCAGAACGACATTCATTTGAAAAGAAAAATAAATGACTCGGCATGGTCCTGACTTGAACCTTGCTAGAAAACATGCACTCGGTAGCGAACTGGCAAAAGCTCATCATTTGACAACCTCACCAGTTTCCTGCCCAAGACCCATCCACACCTAGTTCTCTTCTCAGGCAGAGGGGGCGGGGCGAGAAAGTAAGAAGCAATACTGCACTTCTATGACCTCCGGATCTTCATCATGAGTCATCAAACTTACCCCCTGCTTCTCGGAATCAAAGATGAACGGGAATTTGGGAATTTGCGAAGCAGCAGTAATAGCAACTACTCGTTTATATTTCCTAAAGCTTAAGGTAACTCTATTGAAACCAGACAAGCATTTCTTCTAGCCCACGTTCTACCGCGCTTCCTGTACTCCGCCGCGAAATTTCCACACATATGTCACGGACGCACAATTCTTAACCTACTCTTGATATCCAGCTCAATGGTAATACTCATTTAGGATGTGATGCAAGTAATATTCGTTTCAAATAAATCGAGTTCAATTACAATGTTAAGTTGATATTTATTGTTTCTGGGTACGTCAACTACTTAGATCATTCGTTCCGTAAACACGTTATATCCCGCGAGGTGGCGGTGTTCCTTGCTCGCTGGAATGTGAGATCCAGCGCCGAACTACTCGTCAGCTACTCGCTGTATGAGAATGGCGGGAACATATAAAACGGTTCATAAAGCGTTTATTCCCCCTACAGGTACTTTCCCCAGCGGTGAACCGTCTCCCCAACCCTGGCGAGAAAGTTCTAAGCTCGTCTTCCAGGCCAACTTCGGATCCAATTACCTACTAATTCTTGTACTACCTCTCCCATTATCCATTCCTCTTCAACTGCCGCACCACCTGCCTCGCCCCAGTCACTGCTGTAATACGATACTTCCTGCGACCACGCACTTGGGGTAAAAAGTGGCAACTACAGTTAGACGCAGCAGGATAATATCATTGTAGGTAAATGCAAAAGATTCGAATAATGCATCATAATGTTAGATCTCTTTCAATTAACAATAAATTTATACAGGCAGCATTACCGTGCGATCTAATTCAAATAGATGATTTTTCAGAACATTAGTTACTTCATAACTAAACACTTCAAATTCCTAGTTTTTATCTTGCAGAATCCTATTTACCGATGCAAATAAGTTTTATGTAACTCAAGAGCGAAAATGTCGAGTTTTCAAATGTCGCTAACCTTGCTTTGTGGTTATTTTTATTCGTCATTCTACCATTTATGGTTATAAGGTGGGGAAGAGACTCGAAGTGAAAACGTGCAAAGATTGTACGTCTCCCCCCTACGTTTAACAGTTTCACTGATCTTTAAGAAAATAAATCGAATCGAATCTTAAAACAGTTGATTGAACAAACACATTCAGGAGATAGTGATAGTCGCCGATATTTTCTGCACAACTCACTCCTTAAAACTACAGCGTGTCTTTTACCTATTTTACTGGTGGTATCGGACAAGGCCGAGTTTTATCGTAGGATATCAACACTAGTGGCAACGACATGTGCTTGTACGACGAAGGACAACTGAACCTGCTGAAATCATCTTTGCGAAGTTAGTGGGTTAGTGGGTCTTGATTTGGTAAGGTTTGTGTCGACGTGGAGGTAACTTCACGCTGCAACATCACTAACAGTAAGTCAAATTTGATTTTTCTATGAGCAAAAATCCCTACCTTTCCTAACACACGTTATTTGCCTGCACATCTAAACACTTCAAGAAAAAAAGTTACCAGCCATTTTTTAGAAAAAAAATGTTATAGGCGTTGTATGAAAAATATCCCCTTCCCCAAATTAAAAAAAATCCGTTTCAAATTTAATGGATGGCGACATCACCCAGATAGATTAGCAAATGTAAATATTTGCGGAAATCGTATGCAAGGTTTACATGCTAGTATTTGACGAACAGACGGACGATTTTTTAAAAAAAAACTAAAACACTTTTTCAGTATTAGGGATCCTCAAAATCTCGACATCCATATTTTTGAAGCATTACGAAACTTTTGTTTTAATAAAATTATAAGTTCCTCATATTTTTTGACAAATTATATTCGTGTTTTTATATAACACTTTTTTCATAACTTTTGGGGGAGGTTGGCCAATCATCATACGAAGTACAAATACAGCGCTTTATCAAAATACAAAGTCATCATTATAATTTAACACAGGATCCTATATCACGGGCTGCTGTGGTCAAAAGTTTCGAGAAAAAACCCATTTTTCACAACTGTTAGTTTACTTCACATCGTAGTTCATTGTAAACGGTGGCAGCATTACTGAAAACTTTTACTAAACCAAAACTAGACAATCGTTTCCTTCATTAATTAATACAAAACTTTCTCTGTGACAATGACAACAAGACAATGGCTTGATAGGCGCGTTGATTGGAACGCAATAGCTTAAGCTCGTAATCCAAGCACAACCACAACACCAACGACCTAATGGAGAATCTAGTATCGTGTGTT